CCAAGGCAGTTACTTTATGACTTTAAAGGCTGCTACTTGAGACTAATGCAAAATTTGGCAGCAAATGCCCTGGACCTCTTATCATTCCTAAAGATCTGGAATCTTTCTCTTGCATTTTCACAGATCAGCAGAATCTCAGCATCTCCCCCTCCTTCCCCTCCTCCTATTCTGGAATCCTAGACCTAAAATCAAAAAGCATAGGTTTCCAGCACAGGTTCATAGATTCTCCATCACCCCATTGAAGATTATAGATTTGGGGATCCACATGGCACTGGGAAGTTGCTTTCATTTCTGTAGTCTATTGATTCTGAGACTGTCTCCTTGGCCTCAGTTTTAATTTTACTATTAGTGCCTATCTTATAATGCAACATCTCAACCAGCCAATGCCAATCTGAGTTTTCTCTGCTGTTTCAAAGACAGAGAAAGACCCCTGTAAGGTCATGGGTCACAAAGAAATGATCACAAATACAGATAATTGGATGCAAAAATAAAAATAAAAAAATTAAAAAAAATCCATGACAGCATTTTTCATAACAGCAACAACAAAACTAAAAACAACATAAATACCTAATGATCATGGAATTGTTATATAAATAATCTACCTAATGAATGGTAAATTATGCAGACTCTGAAAACATCTGCAAAAAATATGAATAATCATATATTGAGTAAGAAAACAGAAAACAAAAACTGTATATAACCTCATTGTCTTGAAGAAACATATATATATATATATATATATATATAACTGAGAGGAAATAACCCTTATTTTTATAGAGATTACCACTGTGTGGCAGAATATAGGTGATAGCTCTTCTTATTTATACTTTTTTTCAAAGTATAAATGAATCAATGAGTATATATTACTCTTACTTTTGGAAATAAAACTTTTTTCAAAGGTCAAAAAAGATCAATTGCTACATCAGGACCCAGAAAGCTACAGTAAATCTTCTCTTAGATTGGCTATTAGGAAGTCACTTTCTCCTCTCATTCTAAAGGGGGAAGGTATTGCCACATTATTGAAGCAATCAGCCAGTAGGGTTCTTTCAAGAGCAATAAACTGACCTCTCAAGAGAAAATGGGTGAAGCTCAGGAAATTAGAGCTGGACGCCCCAACTGAGTGGCCTAATGCATCCCTCAAGAATCAGCGCCATATGTATTACACTTTCTGGTGTGGGCACTTTCTTTTCCATTTAATTGTAAATATTTCAAGTGATTGCAATTTCACAGCTACTTTTTAGACCAGTCAACAAGCTATTAATCCATCTACACTGAGCAGAATATAACAACTCCAGCAAACTTCAGAGATATCCATCTAACTCTTTTGCCTGGACCTGCTAATTGACCACGTAATTTAGACCTGGTTCAAATCCTGGCACTTTCACTTCCTTGGGTAAAAGACCTTATGCAAGACCCTCTACCTCTCTGACCCTAGGTGTCCTCACTTGTAAAAAAGGAAACACCTTCCCTTCCTCACAAAGGGTGATGAAGGAATTAATGAGATGATTCATCTAGGAAATGCACTGCGTGCACACAGCAGGTAATAAATGTTTGGCGATTCCGGAGAGTTGGATTAGTACTGAGCAGTTGTTTTCCTAGCAGAAGAGATGGGCTCTGCAGAGTCAACAACCCATTCTTTTGTACTTCCCTGGATGACTCAATGGGTTAATGTGAACAGTGTAGTTCATGATCTTAAAATAGCAAAATTCTATTTGGTACCCAAACCTTGTACTCAGCCAACTAAATTCATGACCCTCAGATCACAAACATGACTGAGAGAGCACCCGTTGAGCCTTTTCACTGTTGATAAGATCTGCAATTGGAACACTGGCCCTGAGAGAGGAGATGGAGTGAGGGATCATGTTTGAGGTGGAATCAACAGGGTTTAATGGAGCATTCAGGTAAAGGCCCAAGGAAAGATATCGTATTTTTTGGACCATAAGACGCACTTTTTTCCCCCCAGAAGTGGGGGGAAAAAGTCCCTGCGTCTTATGGTCCAAATATAGCCTACACATATACTTTAAAAAAAAAGTTTTTTTACTTGCCCGGCTCTGTGTGGTCTCTGTGTGCTTGCCCGGCTCTAAAATGGTTCTAAATGCTGCTGTTTACTTTACAAGGTTGATTACATGTGTTTATGACTGTGATGTTGGGTTTTAATGCACATAAAATATTTTAGGACACTATTTGTTTCAGAATCTTTTTTTCTTCATTTCCCTTCTCTAAAAACTGGTGCGTCTTATGGTCCGGAGCGTCTTATGGTCCGAAAAATACGGTAATAATAATACCTCCAACTTCCTAAGTTGGATGACTACATGCACAGTATATTGATTCAACAATTGTTTATTGAGCCCCCAGTAAGGGCCAAGAACTGTTCCTGCACAAACAGAAAAAATGAAAGTCTCAGCTATTGGGTTTCCCTTCTAATGGGGGAAACAGACAATAAATAGTAAACATACGAATAAACAAGACAATTTCTGGTTGTGATAACTGTGATGAAAGAAACAAACAGGGAAATGAGAAAGAAAATAAGAGGATAGAAGGCTATTTTAGATATTATGGTCAGGAAAGGACTCTCTTGGGGGAAATACATGAGGTCATGGATCCTGACAGATGAGAAGGAAGAAAGAAAAGGCTTATAGGAAGAAGAAATAGCAGATATGAAACCTCAGAGTGGGCCCTGGACCAGTAGCTCAGTTAGGCAGGCTGTCATCCCAATACACCAAGGTTGTGGGTTTGATCCCCAGTCAGGGCACATACAAGAATCAAACAATGAATGCCTAAATAAGTGGAACTCAATCAATCAATCAATCAACTCCTTGGGGTGGGAAAGATCGAGGTGTATTTGAGAAAGGGGCCAAAGGCCTACATAACTAGAGCACAGTGAGAGGATTGACAGGAAAGAAGGTTTGAAAAATGGGCAGGATCCATTCACCAAAGACTAAGCCTTGAGAGAAGCAGGTTTTGGGGGAAGACACTTTCATCTTTGACATGGTGAGTATGAGGTGCCAGAGGGGATCTCCAAAGTAAAGATCCAAAACTATGTCCTAAGAACTAGACACAGTATTGGGATTTGAGAAAATGTTCTGTTGCATCAAAACCACTGAGGAGTGTTCTAAAAACACTGATTCTCGGGTATTAAAACTACATATTTCTAGAGTGCCACCCTGGGAAATTGTAATTCACGTAGGTCTTGGTCAAGATCTGGAAATCATTTTTCAATACTCCCAGGTAATTCTGATCCATTCATTCAAAAAATATTTCCTACATTCCCATCTTGTTTGTGCCAGGACAATTCTAAGTGCTGGGGATACATCTCTGAAGAGGTTACAGAACTCACAGAAAAAAGTGAACAAGTAAAAGAAGTTCAATAGTGATACATGCCACACACACACACACACACACACACACACACACACACACAAAGAAATGCTGGAAAAATATAGAATTATGGGGACCTACACTAGATAAATCTAAAAAGATCTCTCTCTGAGGAAGTCACATTTGAGCTGGAGCTGAGAAATGAGGAGCAGCCTTGAGACTGTGTCGGGGGACAGAGATTCCAGGCAGAGGGAACATGCAATGCAAAGGCTTGGTTGAGAACTCAATAGATTAATCTGATTCTCTGGTTTACTCCCACCTGAGGAGCCAACCTAAATGGGTGGAGGGCACAGGGGAGAAGTTACCATTTCATCTGTAGGTGTTCACGCAACGAAGGATGCTAAGCACACATTTCGTACCAGGCAATGTGCCAGGTGGTGACACAAAGATGAGCAAGACTGTCCCCTCTCTCAGGGAGTTGCCAACCAGGGATGGAGGCAGAGGACTAAATACTGTAAATGTGGTCCCAGGGGAGAAGGGAGGCGTCCCAGACAATGAGTTCGTCTTCTGAGACAGCCAAGTGATGATTAATATGTTCAAGGTGAGCAGCTGTTTTTGTGCATAATAAATATGTGCACAGTCTCAAAAACTCAGCATGTCTGAATTCTGGGCGAAATATTTGTAACTTTGGATATTGCATCTGAGGTACTGTACAATGACTATATTTGGGGAAAAGTGTCCTAATGATAGCCAACATTTATTGAGCACTTAGATTTGCCTGATTTGATATGCAATCTCATCGTCTTCACAAGGTCCCTATGAAGCAGAGAGTCTCATTATTCCACTTTTCTCAGGTTAAGAAATTGGAGCTCAGCAAGGCAAGGAGATTTTCCTGAGATCTCTCAACTCTTGTGACAATGTCCCAGCTCTGTCTGACTTCAAAGTCTCAGTTCCTGTGCCAACCCCTTCCATGAATGGCTTAGCTACTGATGAAACTGCTACCTTCACCCTGGTTCCCAAAGGGGATCCTTCCCCTTCTCCCCTTCCCAGGGGTCCAGCTGGGCTGTTTCCACCAGCCAGATCCACCTGCTCCTCTGTAGCTGGGAGAGGTGAGAGGAGGGCTCCTGTGTCCACACTTGGCACAAAGTGGACGGCAGTGTCCACTGCCTGACTATCCTCGACTCCCGTCTCCAGAGGTCCCCAGGCAGCATGGAAAGAGCTGGGCCCAACCTGGGCACCTGTTCCCTGCCCACCTGTGGGGAAAATTACTGGGGCTCAACGTTCAAGGTCTGAGTAGAAGAAGGGGTTGGGGCAGGGTTAGGGTTCCGGAACCAGCCAGTAAATGGAAGGGAAGAGAGGGGAGTCACTGTGTGGCCAGCTGGGTATGGGTGGGTCACCGCTAATCCTGCTTAAATGCAATCCAATTCGATACCTGAAAAAGTGCACCATTCGTTGGCTAGTTTGCAGTTTAAAGAGGCTTTGCTTCCTGCTCCCCTGAACCTTCTTTTCATTCCTGACTTCTCACAGGGAGTCTGCGTCTCCGGAGAGGCTCTGGGTGTGTCGTCAAGGAGTGTCTTTCCGTGTATCTCGGGCTGGCAGCCTCCCTGTCCCCTTCCCTCACTTCCTTGCTCCCTCCCTCCTTCCCTCCCGCTTGTGCCTAGACTCTTGGCCCGGGTCCCTGAGCCGGGAAGGCGGGTGCCCGCGCGGAGGACGCAGAAGAGGTGAGGTCACGTCTCCCGTGAGCCTCGCTCCCTGGCTTTTCAGAGGCTCGCCAGGAGCCGGCGGCCAGAACCCTGGACCACGCCGACCAGTGCTGCTCTGCCCGCCCCGCCGCCGCCCCGCTCATGTCTCAGTACGCGTCCAAATCGGACTTCAAGGCGGCCCTGGACAGCAGTCCCGAGGCCAACACCGAGGATGAACAGACGAAGGAGGACGAAGGAGGGCCCATGCCCAAGAACTACCTGTGGCTCACCATCGTCTCGTGCTTTTGCCCCGCATACCCCATCAACATCGTGGCTTTCGTCTTCTCCATCATGGTGAGTTAGAGCCCGACGCGGCCAGGGAGGGGGCACCGGCGGCGACGCGGCTCTCCTGGGGACCCGGCGCGCTCTCCACGGCTCCCTTCCTCACGGCCCCGAGCGCCCTGGAGGTGTCTGCCCCCCGCACTCCTCCTCGCCTTCCTCGGGCTCTCGGGTTCTCGCCTCTCTGCCTCCTTGTGGAGCTCAGCCCTGACCCAGCCTCCCCCAGGCCGGCTGTCCACTTCCTTCCGCACCGGGGTGCGCTCCCTCTCCAACCCGGGAAAGTTCTGCGGCGGGCTGGGCGGCTTCTCTCCCAGCCCCGACCTCCGCGGGCTCTCGTCGAGCTCTTTCCGCTTTGCTAAGACTCAAGCAGCGCACCTGGGCCGGCGACCGCACTCCCCCGCCCTCCCTCCCGCGTGCGGACCGGCTTTCCCCGCGGAGAGTCCTGGTTCCCTTTGCTGCGCGCCGGGCGCTGCGTCGGCCACACTCGGGGAAGCGGGGCGGGGGGTTCCCAAGCGACTTCCGACGCCCTCTCCTGACCCTGGACCCCACGCTTTGGTACGCCCTCTCAGGGGCAACATTTCCTCCCATGGCGCTCCGCATCACCCCCCTCCTCCCCCCCCCCCCGCCCCTCGCCCATCCCCGCAGCGCGCCCCTCTCTCTGCAGGTCTTGCTCGGGGCGCGCTCTCCTTAGGACGTGGCAGTTGTCTGGCGCTGCGCACGGGCCCTGTCCCCAGGGCCTGGCGGCGCCCCTCCACCGCTCTGTCCCGTGCCCCGGGCGCTCCCGGGAATGCACGGGGACCCCGCGCTCCGTGTAGCTGCGGCGCCCTTAGCGCTTCGGCCTCCCAAACGGCGCGCCTCTCCCGAGGGCCGTCAGCGGGTGCTTTCAGTCCTGGGTCCGGAGCTCGCCTCCGCGGCCCTGGTAGGAACTCCCAGGCGAGCCCTAAGGAGGGCCACGAGCGCCGCGAGGCCCTCCTCGCTTTATTGACTGGAGCAACTGGCCAGGGGGTGGCGGCGGGGTGAGGTTCCGACCCAACCCTAGCAGGGAGCTCCCTCCCCCACTGGCGCCACCTCTGCAGCCGGGCGACGGAACTCCCCAGCCCCCAGCCCCATTCAAGTCCGTCCGCATTTGCCCATGGGTGGCACCATTCAATTCAGGGTACCCAGAGAGGCCTCATGTATGCCCGCCCGCCACTTGCCTTTTCCCAAGCCGGGTTTGCAGGCTCTGCAGCAACCTCCAAGCGCAGCTGCTGGGCTTCCCGCTGCCTGGGTTCAAACCTCAGCTCGGTCATGTGCTAGCTGAGCGATCCCGGAAGCCGGGCCTCTCTGCCTGTGAAATGGGAATAGCCATTGTTGAGGAGTTGGACTGAAGTAGTAACTGAAAAACGTTTGAAACAGTGCCCGCCAAGGTGCTATTAGGTCAATATCACTCCCTGAGGCCTTTGACCTCTGTTTAAAATCTAGGCCCTAGAGCTCTCAGCGCCCTTTCCTGCTGCTTTTTGCCCAAAGCACTTCATCTATCTGATAGATGGTTTTCCTTACTAATATGCTTGCTGTCTGCGTCTCCCTCATGAGGGCAGGGATATTTGTGTTGTTTGTTGCTGTTTCATCACCTAGAATAGATTCTGGCAGGTGGTAGATGCACAAGTACGAAAGGAATGCATGTTTGAATGAATGAATGAATGAATGGTGTTAATGGACCACAATGCATGCTTTTCCCCATACCAGAGCCCTGAAGCCACCTTATTAGGTTCCTTAGAACCCAGCCAGTTTCCTTCCTTCCTTCCTCTCCCAGAATATTAGATCTTGGGGGAGGGGGGAGGGGTGGTTGCAGCAACGCTGGGGAGAATACAGCTGCCAAGTTCTCCAGACAGCAGTCAGCCCTCTGGCTGCTGCTGGTGCCCACACACTATCCTGGTTTATTAATGAATCAGCAGCCAATCTGCTTCTTTCCCAGAACCCCACCCCCCACCCGAGATGAGCTAACAGCATACTCCAGCTAATGATGTCACTTGGTGTGTCCTGGGGGACAAGATGTGTGCATGCTTTGAATAGAAACCTTTTTTCTGACACCCTCACCCCCACCCCACCCCAAGCCTTTTAAAAATAGTTTTATTGTAAGAGACCATTCTGCTGCCAGAACACAGACCCTGGAGTCGGAACGTTAACCCTGAGCAAGTTTCCTGCCTTCTCAAAGCCTTGGTTTCCTCATCTAGAGAGTGGGACTGTTCTTAAGCTGAGCAAACCTGTGTAAGGATGAATCAAAATAAAGCTCCCCTGCCCCCTGCAATAACTGTCAGACAGATGGACAGATGGTGGAGCCTGGAAATATCATATGTCACATATGAAAATAAACAAAGCATGAAGGAAGTAAAACCCAAATTCTAAAAAGAGTTTCCTACACCCTACTCATTGCACTCCCTCTAAGGTACTAGGAGTGTCTTCCCACTGAAATAGTGCAGATCTGGGCTAGACACGTTTCCTGATAGAGACTTCCAAGTCCAAAGAAGCAAGAGGGAGAGGAAGGCTGTGCAGGAGGAAGGCTGACCAACCCCGTCAGGTATGTGCTTTCCTTAGGGTCTTGTGATGTTAAATCCCAGCCCTTTTCAAAGCTCCACCATCTGTGATTTGTGATAAATCCAGGCAAGCCATTGCCCGTGGAGGCATTTGGAAATCTGGGGGAGCAAATGTGCTGTCCCGTTGATCTGGGGCACTCCTCCTGGCATTTGCTATAAATGACCAAGAGTTCTAATGTCCTGCAGTGCTGGAGACTGTCCTCCCAATGAAGAATTGCCCTACCCCAAACATCAATAGCACCCATAGCAATAAATGCTATACAGTAATGCAAATTGATAGAAACATAGACGTATAGAAAATATCGACAAGGCTCAAAATATTAAGCTAGTTCTCAGAACTGTAAAAAGAACCAACAATCTCAAAACAATATCTGTATTAAACCAAGCCTGCAAAGCCTTCTATAAAATGACTAACTTGGAGTAGGGGAATAATAAAACTATTATCATTATTATAACTCAGCTAGAACTCAGTAAATATTGATAATGATGGTGATGGTGGGCCCGGCTGGTGTGGCTCTGTGGTTGAGCATCTATAAACCAGGAGGTCAGGGCACATGCCCAGGTTGCAGGCTGAATCCCCAGTAGGGGGCGTGCAGGAAGCATCCAGTCGATAATTATCTCTCATCATTGATGTTTCTCCCTCTCCCTTTCTCTCTTTGGAATCAATAAAAACTTATTTTTTAAAAATGACTGTCATTTCAAAAAAAAACTATATTGGAAAATATATATCTGAGAAGCGTTCTTCAAGCTGTGGGTAGATCTTTCCACCAGCCCTGTCCTGGGGGTTGTGAGGCGGGGCATACAATGTGCATCATAGCTTTTTGCATTGGAATGTTGGTGAGTGGAGCATTGCCAGTGGCAGGAACATGAAAGTCTTTGCTTCTCCATGTATCTAACATCTATTTGTTGAAAGTGTACTTAACCTGTCATCAATTTCAGGGACATATATTGCCAGAATTTCCCCTCCAGGCTGGGCCGCTGCTAGCCCATGCATGTGAACTTGAAAGTGGCACCCCCTTCTCCATGCAGATGCAGCCTGTCCCAGGGCACACAGATTGGGAAGCAGAGCCGGGCTGATTGTCAGGACTCCTTCAGCATGCTCCCAGGTTATCTGGGTGCATTCCTGGTTATCTCTGTTTATTCCAAATGAAAAGAGACTCATAATTTCTAGTTGGCTTTTGACCCTGGAGAAAGAATGTTTGTTCATACAACACAGGTTTACTAAGCACCTATTATGTGCCAGGCTCTATACTCCTTTACCTCTATCAAGAGGTAAATAGCATCAGCAAGGTCTCTGCCCTCGGGATCTGGAGGAAGAAAGGTTCCAGGCAACTTGCAGAGTGTTGGAAAGTGCAGCTTCCATTCACCATCCATTGCTTTTGTAGCTGGAATTTGCTACCTGACTCAAGAGCCTGGAGTTGGGTCCACTCTTTTGATATAATCATTTGCACAGTTGAAGCAACTCGCTTACCCTAAAACTGGACTTTTGATTGGGTAATTCATAAGACTTCTCTCTTCAGAATGTCTTCTTCCTCACACCTACATAACCTGTCTAGAGATCAACCATTGAAGTTTAAAGCTTTTCTGTTTTTTGCTATGTTTGTGCAACTAGCCTTTCTGAGGCTTGATTTTTCAAGCCTGTAAAGTGAGGGCTGTGATGGCACCTACTCAGGTGCTGTTGTGGACCTTAAATGATAAAAGTCAAATGTTTTCATTGCCTAGAACACAGCTAGAACTCAGCAAGTATTGATAATGATGGTGATGGTGGGGGAGGAAGAGGAGAGGAGTATATTTTAGGGATGTTTCCCAATAGCAGTTTTTGTTTTTATGAGACTTACAAAAGCAGTAACCAATAAACATGTCACCGTTCTAATTTGCAGCCTAAAGGTAAATATGAATGCTAAACTAAAACACCTACAGTAAACAAGGAAGACTTTTGATGAAGCACAGAGTACCCAACACATCTGTTTTCTCCACTCCCTTCTGAAACCACTTTAAATGATAAAAGTGAATTTAAAAGGGTGCAAACACCCAAGGACAAGTTAGGAGACCAAGAAAATGGATGAGAGAGGTGAAAAAATGTTAGACGATGGAAAATGACTAGCTGAGTCTTGGCTAACTTTACAGAGCAAATAACACTGAAATCTAAATCCTGCAGAAGAAGGAGCCAATGGGGGGGGGGGGGGGGGGAGAAGACAGTTTGCCCTGCAAAACCCTAGGAAGGCTCAGAAATTGGAGGTACTAACTGGAGGTACCACCTTTGGAGGCAGGCATAGAGGGTAAGGTTGAATAGAGAAGGGATCTTAGAAACTAAAAAGTCATTAAACTATCGCGATCGTCTACACTCCATGCATGGGCACCTGCTCGACAACCCCGATAGAAGAGGGGAGACCTCACTCTGGTGAGATTAATCAGAATGCCTGCAGACTCCAGGCAGAGCAG